CTTTTTCCTTAAATGTCATCGCCACAGATGTCCGAATTTTGTTCCAAACTCTGTATGGGCAATTATAAGTTTGGGTGTTAATTTACTGTTATTTTTAGGAACTGTAAAATGTTGTCTGGGAGACAAAAATCATTTTTGAATATAGTACCATATTTTTAAAAAATATTTCTCCAGTTCATTTGGTGCTGTGTATGAAGTGGTGGACCCACCCTCCAAGCTAGAAAATGAGCCTCAAAAATAATTTTCCAATTAGAAAGGACTTTTTTTTAAAAAAAGAAAGAAAAGAAAAGCTCTTCATAAGCTTAAGAGCAGAACACAGGACAATAAATACAGGAGCTATATAAAAGAGAAGAAATAGTGGCTAGTGTAATTGAAGCATGTTTAAAGAAACCAAAGGTTTGGGGCTTTTTTTTTTTAAAAAAAGATTAAACTGGTTATGGTTGACTGCAGGGAAGTTTATAAAGAGAGACCAGTCTTAAGACTTTTCACAATTCTGAATTTCTGAAGAAGGGAGGGAAAAAACTAGTTTTCTTTCCATCTTTAAAAGATGGGACTAATTGAGAACAGTGACTTTCCAGGAAAGGAATGGGAGGAAAAGCAGAAGTGGGTTTACAAAAATAACCCTCTCACCTCCTTCAGTCCTGGGGCACTCAAGCAGGAAAAAAAACAACCAGATTTGCCTTTGGTCTTCCAACTCCAAAACATCTTTGCTTAAACCTTTTTCTTTTTCTTTTTGGTTGGTTATTCTGTGCATGTTTTTGATAATGTGACTTATGAGAATATATATTCTCTCTCAATATATATACATATATCTTTTGTGCACGCATACACATACGTGTGCCTGTGTGTAACTATATCTATAGGTATAAAAATTATATGGCGTTTCATGCCTGGTTATGGTTAATAGCCATTGAGGAAAAGAGAGCGTTGCCTGCAAGGGCATGTAAGAACCTCATCAAGTTAATGTTATTAAACAGCATGTGGTTTTGCCATTGTGGTTGGTGGAAGTGTGTCTTATTTCTATTGGGAAGTGCCTCCAAATGGATTGTGCAATCTGTTAGATTCTGTCTGCTAAGTATCATGGTATGAACAGATAAAGCATACATTCTTCTCTATTCAAAAGTAGCCCTCGCAGTAGGTATGTGGCACGCACTTCAGTGGAAGAATATGCAAATATTGCTGTAAATGTAGAGTTGTTATTGAAAATTGCAGCTGTGAATCAGGTCCTTCTCCTCCTCCATAAAGTCTATAGCAGGTGATTTCAATTTTTTCCAGAGCAAGGAAGTTGGCTGGAACTCCTGATCAAAAGACAAAGCTCCAGTGATGGAAAAACTGGATGCATTTGTGTTGGGTTCTTTTTTTTACCTCAGGTTTCTCATAGAATTCCATCACATTTCAAGGATTCCATGGAACACAGTTTGGAAAAACCCGGGCCTAGACCTCAAGTTACTTCAAGTCATGATTAACAGCAAACCTCCATTAGCCATTCTGACCAAGATAACAGATCTATAATTCAGTGCATCTGCTGCTGTGCATTGGCTTAGTGAAAGCCACCATAACCTGTGATACATTTTACTGCTTTTTAATGGAGGGAGTCAGAAGGAAATAGAAATATAGTTGCCAATGGTAGCAATATTTATGTTAATAGAAATAATCTTGTTTCAATGCCTTTCAGTATAACTATGCATTAGTTACAAAGAGTTGGATGAGTGTCCTTAGCCAAGTGAGTATATTTTTTTAAAGTATGGTAAGACTTAATGTTTGTCATTTAATTTTAAATATACTGGTGACAGTATAAGAAGAAAAAACAGCTTTTCTCCCCCATCCCATTTTCCTCAGATTCTACCTAATACAAATGAAATATGGGGCATGTCTATTCCATAGAAGGGAAGGGGGTGAAGAGAAAAACAAGCAATTACTATAGGCAATCTCTCCTGTGCCTAAGTACAGAGGAGAAAGATTGGAGAGAAAGGGATTACATAAGCAGACACACAATGGGGGATACACCAGACAGTTGGCACTGCACAGCACACCATGGTTGCTGATTCCAGCTCATTGCTTTTGTTGTGGATTCTCCATTGTGTGCCTGCTTACTCTTCCTCTCCAACTAATGTAAATATAAACAGTAATTATTTTCTTAAGAATTATCCCAGCACTGGGATGAACATTCAAAGGACAGGGGATTAGAAAAAGGAAAGCACAGTTGTGGTCACGTGATTTCCAACTTAGTGACCACTTCACTTAACAACACAGCTGCTGGTATCAGTTGGGTCACTAAATGAGGACTACATGTAAATAGATGAAGCACAAGTACTTAGAAAAACCCATAATCTAGACCTCCAATGACTGCAAAATCATGCTGACATAAAGGTGAGAAGTTTCAGAAATACCATCGACAGAAATATAATTTACAGGTGAAACTCGAAAAATTAGAATATCGTGCAAAAGTTCATTTATTTCAGTAATGCAACTTAAAAGGTGAACCTAATATATGAGATAGACTCATTACATGCAAAGCAAGATAGTTCAAGCCCTGATGTGTCATAAGTGAGATGATTATAGCTTACAGATCATGAAAACCTCAAATCCACAATCTCAGAAAATTAGAATATTGTGAAAAGGTTCAATATTCTAGGCTCAAAGTGTCCCACTCTAATCAGCTAATTAAGCCATAACACCTGCAAAGGGTTCCTGAGCCTTTAAATGGTCTCTCAGTCTGGTTCAGTAGGAATCACAATCATGGGAAAGACTGCTGACCTGACAGTTGTGCAGAAAACCATCNGAAGTTGGATGTTCCCAAAATGCTGTATCAAAACACATTAATAGAAAGTTATGTGGAAGGGAAAAGTGGAAGAAAAAGGTGCACAAGCAGCAGGGATGACCGCAGCCTGGAGAGGATTGTCAGGAAAAGGCCATTCAAAAGTGTTGGAGGGAGTGGACTGAGGCTGGAGTCAGTGCATCAAGAGCCACCACACAGAGACGGATCCTGGACATGGGCTTCAAATGTCGTATTCCTCTTGTCAAGCCGCTCCTGAACAACAAACAACATCAGAAGCGTCTTACCTGGGCTAAAGAAAAATAGAACTAGTCTGTTGCTCAGTGGTCCAAAGTCCTCTTTTCTGATGAGAGCAAGTTTTGCATCTCATTTGAGAACCAAGGACCCAGAGTCTGGAGGAAGAATGGAGAGGCATACACTGCCAAAAGCACCAAAACCTGGTTCAATGACTGTGGGATTACTGTGCTCGATTGGCCAGCAAACTCACCTGACCTGAACCCCATAGAGAATCTATGGGGCATTGCCAAGAGAAAGATGAGAGACATGAGACCAAACAATGCAGTAGAGCTGAAGGCCGCTATTGAAGCATCCTGGTCTTCCATAACACCTCAGCAGTGCCACAGGCTGATAGCTTCCATGCCACGCTGCATTGAGGCAGTAATTGCTGCAAAAGGGGCCCAAACCAAGTATTGCATGCTTATACTTTTCAGAGGTCCAATATTGTTCTATATACAATCCTTGTTTTATTGATTGCATGTAATATTCTAATTTTCTGAGATTGTGGGTTTGGGGTTTTCATGAGCTGTAAGCCATAATCATCACAATTATGACAAATCACGGCTTGAACTATCTTGCTTTGCATGTAATGAGTCTATCTCATATATTAGGTTCACCTTTTAAGTTGCATTACTGAAATAAATGAACTTTTGCACAATATTCTAATTTTTCGAGTTTCACCTATACATTATGGCATCTCTTCATATTTTTGGTTTAAAAACCAATACAGCATCTATGCACTTCTCTCTTTGTGTTCTTATAGTCCCACCCTATATGACTTTTCTTTTCCAGAAATATGATTGTGTACATGTGTCTGCATGAAACTGATGTGCTACAAAGCACCAGCCTCCAGAATAACTTGTATTTCTAAGGTTGTCTATAAAATCAAAGAGTGCATATTTCCATTTCTTTTTTATTTGAAATCTACTTACTAGCCCAGAAAGGACCACCAAGGTAAGTTTACTCCAGTAGAAGAGTAAACAGTGTTTCTGGACTACAAGATTATGGAATTTAATAATGACTGTAGCTAAGGAAATTATACTCCCAGTCTTAGAACAAAATAAAGATATTATCAAAATACATTAATATCCCTAGGCAAAGCAAAATACCATTGGTAATTCTGAAGAAGGTGAGCAAATACCATATGGAGTTGCTTGATTTGTTTTTGCTTCCTCTAATTCTCTCTAATTAATGGTAGGCTGAAGAAACTCTTAGAATTTCTACGTTTTATATTAATGAAATTCTTCACATCCTTGATGCCATGGCATCTAGTTTCTCTGGGCATTTTTTTTAAAATGGATGACTGTTGCATCTATCCTCTAGCTATAATCTGAAGCAGTATAAGCCAAACAAAAGATTTATCACTCCAGTAAAAATGTGGGCTAAATACTGTAAATTAGAAGACTATTTGGGTAGAGTAAAAGACACCCAAAAGTTGCAGCTTGTGATATGGGAGAAGCAGAAGCTGCGGGGCAACAACAATAACAAAAGAAATAATTTTTGTGCTTTTGGCTGGTTGTCCTGTTTATTGTCTAGCTGGGAACAAGCCCTGTTTGCATTCTCATTTGATATTGCAGGCTGTTGTATTGATGCACATGAATGAGAGAATCAAAATTCAATTATTTACAGACTTATCCATTTTGATTCAGATATGGAAAAATCAAACTGGCAAAGATTTGCCTTAAGTACCTGATATGTATCCCAAATTCTGGATTTAGTTAAAGTACTGTTCCAAACAGCCAGTATCCCTCTGGCAAGAAACTCATAGAAATGAGCACTAAAATGTATAGACCAGCAAATTGTGTGTTTGTTTGAAAGAATGACTGAACAGTGATTAAATAAAGCTGATCTGCATTTAATCAGTCTTAAATAGGCAGTTTGGGACATGGCTATCAAATTGCCTCAAAATACTCAGACACTGATATGATTCCCAACAAAAACCCTGTCCAATGGGATTCTGACAAACCTGAGGAAGGCATTTCCCAGAAAAAATGGTAAAATCCACCATAGGTAAGATTGCCACCTTATTTCCTTTATCAGATCAAGTAACAACTCCATGAAAGATTGAAATTCACTGAATGATGGAAGTCTGATGATGGAAAACTTCAATTTTCCATATTTGACTGGTGTGAAAACTGACATTGCCAAGTCTAAGCAACTTCCATTACACAGACGTGTTCTTTCCAATCTCTTCTCTAAATATATGATGCTGATTTTAACTTGATGCTGATACTATTCTGCTTGGAATATTGTGTTTATTTCCCTGAGAAACTCTAGCCAAAATGGCAAGAGCATTTACAAGGACTAAGTTTTAATCTCTTTACTAATGATCTATGTTGCCAAGCCAGGCTCCTCATTCCTGAGCCAAAAACCCCAAAATATTTTTGTCTCCATTTGTTAGACCAAACCTTGCTTGGAAACACTAGTTCAAACAATTAACACATCTATACTGAGTGTGGCTGATGATACAGTACTGGTACCGCTTCTGTACAGTACTAATAAAACAGTACAAAAAGAGTTACAGTCTGAGTGCAATGCAAAAAGAATTGATTATAGATGCAAGAGGTTAGGTTAAGCAAGGATTTTTCTTATTTGGTTATCTGGCATACACTTCTGATGAATCATTGAAGTCAATTAACAATCGTTCATTAAGTTTAGTTGTGCTTGTTATTTCTTACAGAATGCTCAGTACCATCCTGTTCTTAGGGATTCCTTTGGAAAGAGCCAGTGTTGTTAGATTTGTATAAAAGTTATACAAAGACGAAATGCAGAAATATCCTTAGAAATGCCACCCACTCTTTCATTTACTGATGCTGCTTCTCAACACATCAATTTCTTCCCATATCAGAGTTTAGTCACAGCCACAAATATGTTTAAGACAGTATTTATAGAAATTTCCTTCAAGTAATAACAGTAGGACATTTTAAGATGTACGTGATATTTATACCCTAACCCTTAACTTGAATCCTTGGCTTATCAGCATTTAGACTTCACTCACATCCCCTTCTGGTTTGATGATTTTTTTCCCCCCAAGACTTCAATCAAACAGTAATGTTCAAACAAATGCATCACTACATGTAAAATGGAAGGTTTATGAATGTGTCTGCATAGGTAAGATGGGGAACTATCTGGATAACAGTAGTTGTATTACTTAGTCAAGTATACTTGGTGATAATTTCCTCAATAAAGAATCAGACTTGTTTCTAGTATTTTTACCCCAGCAACAAGTTTCAGAGGAATATTTCAATACGTGGGAGATTTTTTTAGGACAAGGATGTGCTAATTGGTAGAAATAATAGATATTATGCCTATAATGACAAAACAAGAAGAATTTGTGAGGGGGGTGAAATAGTGTCACATGTAGAGCATAGATTGGAGTTTATTTCAAAAGAAAGAATATTGCAAAAAGGGGGGGTATGAAGCATTTGTCATATTCTGTTTTGTTTACAAATTGGGATGAGTTCTCTACATCAGGACTGAGCCTGGGCTAAGTTCTCTGACCCTTCTTTAGATCAGAACACCTCAAAGGGATGAAGATGGCCATACACAATGGTATGTGGGAATGACCTTCGGAGACAAGAGGGAAAGCCACAGACTGGACAACCAGTGTAAAAGACAGCCCACAGGTGGATGGGAGGGCATGGGAAACATTTCAGAAAAGACCCTCCCTAGTTTTCTGGCAAGGAAAAAGAAAGGAAGGGAGAAATACTTTCATTCTGGCAAGAGTCTGTTAATGCAATCTTACAATAAAGATAGAGTTAGTACTCCTGGTTATACTTCTTGTCTGGACTACCCCACAGGGCTAACACCATGGCATGCTGAATGATGATATAAGTGGTAGGATTATCTGAAGAAAACTTGGAATATATCCCTACAGACAATGGGGCCATACCAAGTGCCCCACATAGGGATCATAATCAAAGGATGCAAAACTGGAGGATATAAGCCAGGATCCTTCCACCCATTTGCTTTTCATGTCTTTCTTGCACCCCACTGAAAATGGCAGAGGAAAACCAGTCCACACAGCCATGCAAGTTCTCCAGCATGAATTATCTTCCACTGATACCAGCAAAGCAGGTCACAAGCCTTTCCTGGAAATACAAGTATGGTGGGCAGATTATGCTGAAGGATGAGGTAAATTTTTCCAAGGTGCAATTCTATTGTCATATTGTTATCATCCTTATCATCTTCTTCCAGGTTTCTGGAGCACAAGTTAAGGTCCTTGAGTAGGTCTGAGATGTTCTCAGCAGCTGGGCCAAAAATTTCTACGTCCTCCAATTCTGTGTCAGCATCTGAAGCAGGGAGTTTCCCTTTTCTTTACCTGGGGAGGGAAGATTCTTGTGAGAAAGGGGAACTAGGGCCCACTGAGTTCTCTGGTCCTGAGTCCACTGCAGATTTCCCAGGGACTGTATCACTGTTATCTTTGCTCCACAACTTTGTAGACCAATTGGTATGCTCTTTGTTGCTTGAAGTCTGGGTGGCATCACGGAAACTTGCAAGAGGAGGACGAAGTTGGACCCCAGTACGTGTAGACCCCTCAATAGCTTTCTGGAGCTGAGAGTTTGAGAGACACAGAATTAAGAAGGAAGTTGCATAAAAGTAGTCTTCCTCCATCAAAATAGTTTCCATAGACCAGAAGGGCAATCATTTTCATCCTAAGGACCACATTTTTGACCCTTCTTGGTTTGCCTTATCACATGAAAATGTTACCAAAATAGGCAAGATCAAAAAACTTTTAATCCCTTTTTCTGCATTTAAAACCATTCGTTCATTCATTCATTCATTCCTTCATTCATTCATTCAATCATTTTTTTAGACCACTACAACATATGAATCTCAGCAGCATACACAAAGTATGATTTGGAAATATTTAACAAAGTTAACACTTTCCATAAGAAAATTTTGGGGAGTGAGGGGTCTTTAAGGTCATACTAGCTGCTTTAACTCTGCAAAAGTTAAGGGACCCATTTTGTTTCTTAAACATCAGAAATGCAAAAAGATCCAAAATTTTCATCTATGTCTAATATATGAGGCATTGGAGGCCTCAAATGGGCTGCTGGGAGTGGGGGAAGGGGAATTGCAGCTCACAAGTTATCCAGTCCTGTCATACAGACACACAGAACTCCACTCTGATATTTACTACTCATGCTATTTTTGTTCTTCATAAAGGGAGAAAATAAGCAACTGAGATCCTCATGTCAGAAGTTCAAAGATGCTCAAAGAGGGGGAAAAACCTTTGATTATCATTATCTTTACAGTACAATAGGATTTTTTTTTTTTTACCCCCAACTAGGTGTCTTCAAGTAGTGCTGGCTGGAAATTTGGAGAGTTGCTGAAAATGACTGCTCTATAAAAATACTGAGGAGTACATGTACATGAAAGAAGTAAGTGGCTCTAATAGCCATTATCTCCTCCAAAACCTTTTGGGCACCAGGGACCGGTTCCATGGAAAAAGGTTTTTCCATGGAGGGGAGAGTACGTGGCTTTGTGTGCTGCCTGCATCCCATGGATGGGGCTTTGCTTGTTTGTGCGGACCGATTGCTGGCATGCCGCAGCCAGGTACCGGTCCATGGACCGGGGATTGGGGACCCCTGCCCTAGAGAACAAAATTCCTTTGAAGGAGATGGCAAATAAATAAATAGTACCATCACAAACCAGAAGAGTCCAAGATTTTTAGAAGGAAGACAAAGCCATGGAAGTTAAGCATGTATAAATTCAATTCAAGTCCACAACCTAATTTCTCCTCTTCTGAAAAAGGCCACAATCCAGTTGGCATTATAGCCAATAAAGCCATAATAAGACTAAAGATTTTTTTTCTTCTTCTGAATGTTAAGAGGATTTAAAGAGGGATTACTCTTGTAGTCCAGATAATCATATATTTGTATATCAGATTTTGCGAGTTTTAGCAAGGGTGCACTAAGCCTTCAAGTGAGTATGCTTCAAAAATTAGGGAAGGCTGAAAAATAAATAGAGGTCAGAATAAAATAAAACATTTCAATTTAAACTTAATGAAAATAAAATAGTACACATTACTTTTTTGCAGGTACTGATATTACAAGTTACATTTTGCTGGCTTTGTGTGGAGAAGCTCTGGGAACTGAATCTAAAGTCCATAGGGGAGTAGTGTTATATATCACTGATAGTATTAAAAGAATACATGAAATGTAAAATAAAGCTAAATGGAAAAGTTCTTAAATGACTTTTCTAAATGTGGATTGAGAAGGCACCACCAGGATTCCAGAAGGAATGGTAAGAGTGTGATGTAAGTGGTGTATAATGAGTAGCACTCCTGTCTTTTACTGTCTCCTCCCCCCCCCATTATGGGTTTCCCATGAGATCTTTTCTTTACTCTCAAGCAAGACTCAACCAGACAAAATACAAAGGTAACATGATTTAAATTACCTCTTCCAGTGCAATCACACCTTTTAGTTTTCCCATGCTGGTTACATAGGCATGGGTGAGTCCTAGCAATGAAAACAAGGTATGTGTCTACAGAAATGAGAAAAGAAACCAATTAGCAAATAAAACAGGCCAATCATTGCAAACTCGTGGAGAATTTGAAATAGGTTAAGAATGGTGATTATTATTTTTTACCCATATTAGAGCAAAGCCAAAGAATGAAACCTTCATGTCTGAAATTGGAATAATTAGAAGTAGAGATCAATTTATCCAATTAACGCAATGTAATACTTTGTTGGCATTAAAAAACAAATTGTACCAAGTCAACTGATATTAAGTTACATAGTAATGTGATATACAAAATAAATAAAAGATTATGGTTTAAATATTTTTCCAATTCTACATAACCTATGACCCATCAGACTAAACTATCTTTCTCTCATGTACTAGCATGCTAAGAGTATTCTCAGGTAGCAAAAGCAGAGTGAGTTCATCTAGATGGGATATAAATGGAATTAAGCTCTTCTTAACTCAGGGGAATATAGAACAGTCATAGACGGGCATAAGTTAGTAAAATTGAGATGCTGTTAACCTGAACAAATCAAACCAGGGAAAAGGGAAAAGTTGCCTTTTGATTTTGGATCCTGGCTTGTATATGTCCTTGCAGATATCATTTTAGGTGAGACTAAGGCTTTTCTTCTTTGAAAAACAGGAAAATAAGGTTTTATCTTTGTGCTATAGTAGGGCCCATCACTCCTAGCTTATATTAAAGAAAACCATGCTACCTAATTAAACAAGGGCACCTTATACATAGATTGAAATGTTTGGAATTGATTAAACATACAACAATTCTAAGTAGGTTTTGTTCAATCTTATATTTACTGATGGATCATAATCATAAAAAGCACTGTTATTAACTTCTTTATTTTGAGTTATGTGTTGGAACAACATTGAGAATAAAGAACAACTTACTCAACAATTTCTGTCCCCAATTTTAATAGTAAAATTGCTCCTGCAAAGATTAAACAGTTGCCCAACTAGTTTGATCCCTCTGTTTCCTTCATACAGAAATCATTTTAGTAGACAAGATTATCTAAAGACATACCACTGCTTCGTAGATGAAATTTTCTGCTAATAGCATAAACTAAGTATCAAGTATCAAGACACAGAACTGGCAAGAATGTAAATAATAAAATAAACTTAATTGAACATTGGGGGTGGTTCCTTTGCTTTTAATGCTATTTTTCTCATTCAAATTCTAGAGGTTCAGCTTCATATTGAAACCTGCAGCTCTTAATCTACTTTGCAAAGTTGCATGGCAAGGTGGCAACATGCAATGGGTGAAAAAAAAGATCTGTGATAATAAAATAATTTGGCAGGAACTGGGGGGGAAGGAAGAAGGAACTGAAGAAAAGAGAACAGGTCTGTATTTTGTAGATTAAGCCCAATTCTGTACCTTTTACTTGCCTGAAAGAGTAAAACCAAAGAAGAGTTGTTGAGGCCATACTATATATGGAGAACCTTACTCCACCTGATAGGTTAAAGCTTGAGCAAGATCGCACAGTATTTTGAAAACCAAGCAATATAAAGAGAACTTGAAATCAGAAGAAGGTGTAGGCCTTGATGGGAGTAGAGTTGGATAGCAAGGTAAGTAGAGAATAGGAGGTAAATGCAGGCACCCACCTTATGCAGCGATGTTCTCTCGACCAGCTGAAAGGGAGAAGGATCTATGCGGCAGCTGCTGAAGCATACCTTTTTCTCCAGCTCCTCCTGCTCCCAAACTTCTATCTGACACAGGGGAAAAAAAAGAGTTCACAAGTTCAGAGAAGTAATTTGTACCAACCACTTTCCCAGGCTGCTCACTTTAGCCAATGAGCCAGCATGATTTACTTGTCTTGGGTATATTTCCCAACTTGTCCAATTCCTCTTCTAACTTTTTGGTTGACTGGAGAGCAGTTAGACAGCCATTTCTGACAGGAATCTGAAACAACCTCTTTCCTAAAGCAAACACCATATTTTTATTTTTGCTATTGCTCGCAGTAGACTTTTCCATTTTCTTTATATTTGCATTCCTTCTCAGAGATTACGTTTTCCATGAATACTTTGGTTTTAATTTTAAAGCCTATCCCCTAATAATGCAATCAGGGGGAGGTCTATCTGGATATTGCACAGACTCTCACTCATACAGACATTATACAGGCTCTCTTAAGAGCAAAGAGTACATGTTCCAGCCCATTCTCCTAAATTTTTCTAGTTTTCCATTACCAGTTTAATCATGTGGTTTTCAGTAATCATGCTTGCTTCTGCAAAAAGCTGCTGTTGTTGGGTTGCCGCTTGGAAAAAGGATGTGCTACCAATAAAGGAGAATATTTGTAGCTGAGGGCTGAAATAAGGGGTCCTTGGTGCTCTCTGAGCTTGGTTGTCTTCTTGCAGATGTTTCATTACCCAAATTAGGTAACATTATCAGTGCTAGCAGTTTTCATTGCCTAGTCTGGGTAATGAAATGTCTGTAAGAACACAAGCTCAGAGAGCACCAAGGACCCCTCAAGGGGTGTGTTACTTACCAGGCCTGACAAAACAACACAAATTTACTTCAAGAAGCATTAGGGACTGCAGAAATGATCAGATTCACTCCAGCAAAGTAAAGAAGGCGCTACTCAGTTTCTCCCCCAGTATTTTAAGTTCATGCAGCTTTGGGACTATCTACAGCATTCATCAAAAAAAATCTGAGCCTGTGTACCATCATAGATAGAAAACTGGATGAAAGTGAACATACCCAACACCAACTAAAACCTGCAATTGCAGTACTATTGGGTATCCCAACCATGTGGTCTTATTAATACTCCCTGTTTTCTTGAAGTTATGAGTCACAGAGCTCACATATAGGTTATAAGCATGATAGATATTACACTGTACTTTTTGTCATAGACCTATTATGTAGCAAATATATTTTTGAAAAATGATTCGTGCAATGCTTTACAAAGGTAGAGTTAGGGAGTGTAGTAACACACATCTTCCCTCTTTAACTTTCAACTTTTTCTTGCAGGCTATTATATTCTTGCCCACTGTTCTTTGAGGTGCCATGCATACTGACAGTAACATATACAACAGCATAACTGTCATAGAGAAAATGAGGAGATGTTTTGAGAAGTCACATTTCATAGTGGAGAATGGATAAATATTCTTGTGATTTTTTTTAAAAAAAATAATCACATGACTGTTACATGGAATCTCCTGACATGACATTGACTGGAAATGTCAACCCCATCAACTCTGTTGCTTTACTTCCAAACGTACCTCTTCTGGCTTCATTGGGTCTTCAACCTCTGCTGAATCCTGAAAGGAATAAGTAATCAGTTCCAAGATCAGAAGAAAGGCAGCAAAGCTTAAATCCAAATCTCATTTTCAGAACATAAATGTTGCTTCTTCCCTAACATCGTTGCTGTAACCAGCGCTTGTATGTATTATGAGATTTAGCACATGGGCAAAGAAACCTTGTCAGTGCATATGACATGGTAATGCATTCTAAGCCTGGGTTACAGTTTCTAAAACAAAATTTATTGTCCTCCATGCCTGCAAATTTGGAGGCAATATCTGGTGAATTTCAAACTGTATTCCTTTGTTTTATATCATTGCTTTTATTGCTTATAGAAATGCAGAGGAACATCCATTTAGCAACGGTGTTAGTCTTTCATTCTGAGGGAACTTACCATATCACTTTCTCACAACAGGGCAGATAGGTAAACTCGGGGTTCTGAATACTTGTCCACCCCACATCTTTTGTTTCTATTCACTCCATTTACTTTCCTAAATACAATGCTGTGGAAGTGCACACCTTTGTGACATACAGGTGCATGTGTAATTTTTATAAGCAAATAAATGGAACAGAATTCAAAAATTCCCTCTCATCATTTTTCCTGTTGCAGCTTTGGGATTCTTGTGTTTGTAACAAAGAAATCTATTATTTGAAGAAAGCCTTTACTATAATAATTACGGCAGATCCATGAGGAGGCTTGTAGCATATTAATCTGCAAAGAAATTTTTCCTAGGCAGTGATATCATCTGTTAGAAGGATTCAGTTGCTTTTCCCTCCCTCCCCCTTCACAATCTCAAAATCAGTCCTGTCATGTAGGCATACAGATTTTTAAGAAATAATAATAACGAAAAACAATTTGCAGTTTTTCCATCCTTATTCTTTCCATTCGAAGAAATACAAAGATGGAAAACATAAGGTATTCTCAAGTGATTTGGAAGTCTGGCTTAAAAATACATTTAAAAAATAGATATGCATGCTAATGTATAAAATATCAGTGCTGATGTCATGACAGTTCAGGAATGAACAGGGATAGGTCAATTCTGGTACTGAATATCTTCCAAAATCTTTGGCAGCAAAAGGCCATGATTGATGCTAAGCTTCCCTTGCTATTTTAGGTTTTCCTGCTGGAAGGGATTAACCCTATTAAGCAAAAAGAGACAAGGGTAAAACACTGATAAATGACTATAGAATATCAGTGTTGCATGGCTAACCTATTTCATTACCATAATGAAGTACGTATGTTGTATATCACAAGGTCTGTCTGGAATATAAACAGACTGTCCAAAACCATAATATTCCCATTCACTTTTACTATGCAAGGTTTTGATGCCCTGCCTACTCTCTTCGTCCCAGCCAGCCCAGCCAAAGTGGCAGTGCAAAGGGCTGTCTGGAATGTTGGATTCAAAAGTAATTCCAAGTAATTGGGAAAGTCCTTCAAAGAAGGAAGAAAGTTCCCTGTCATATCCCAGCCTGAGACTACAAAAACTGTCCAAAAGAATGAAACAGAAGGTACTGCAATAGGAAAAGCATTCCAGCATTCTACAAAATTTGTGCAGGACAGCAGAGATTAAAGTCTCATGAAGCACCCATATTCATTCTCTTTCCCTGGTACATTTGTGCCCACATGCACTTCTGAGCTATCTGGTCCTTCATTTTGAGAAGTTAAATTTATTTCATTTCTTTCCCACTTCTGACTCCCAAAATGCTATTTTCTCAGGGTATGAAAGCAATCAGGACTCTTTTTCCAAAATTATTCAGGCATAGGATAGCTTTCTTGTTCAAACCTGCTCGGTGCTTTTTTGCTGAGGGGATGGGCTGAGACAAAGAAGTTGTTCCATCAATCTCCTTAGCTGCCAACATCTCCGGGCTGTGAGAAGGGGAAAAAATGCAAGGAATGAAATGGTTGACCACTGGGCTGTCTACAGGTATGATTAAAAAAAAAATCAAGATGGCAGCCACAACCTACAGCCAAAGCTTCATCCATTTTGACACTGTGGCTGCCATTTTGATCCTTTATACTACACTCTGCAGAGACTTCTGACTAACCATCAACAATGCTTTTTTTCCTACCCTTTCAATGATGCGTACACATTAGGTTGCCTCTGCATCATCTCTGATTTCTAAGCAAAAAAATGTAAGATATTTTCCACAGAAGAGCAAACTGAAACAATATAACTTCATATAAATATAATTCTTATTATTTTTCAACCGAGCACTTGGTGCTTGTTGGCTGTCGGGGCTGTTAGGTAGACCAGGCCATGAAATCAACTCCATGGGAAGGCTGAAAGTACTTTTATAGACATTGGCTATAATAAAAGAATCTTGCAAATTTGAGAATGCTGTACCACCTCCTCCTCCTCTTTCTTGCAGTTCAGTGAATTAGGGAGGCCTCTGCCTGAGTTGCTTCTGAATATTATCTTGTTCTGGACTTAAAAAAAAGGTTCAGCCCCTTTTGCCTAGGCAACAGATCCCACATATCTCCATCAAGGTCATCTTTTTTTCTCTACAATGATTCACCATTTCAGTGTGGAAACTATTGATGATTTGATAAATGTTCTCCTAAGTTGACTGAAGTTCACACAGATGTTCTGTGCAGATGGCCTGTTCATAAATGATCATTACTATCAAGTAATAAACTCTACTGGCTGAGTGGCAAAGGAAATGGAATTGTTTGTGACAGCATTCGAAAGGGAAAGAGACAAGGCAAAGCCACAGATTAAGGCTGATAATTGGCCAGATTCCAAGAAAATGGTGGATCTGATTTCTAGAAGCAGAAAGTGAGTGGTTGTCTATCTGACCATAGAGAAGCCAGGCTTGGGGAACCATGTAGTAGTGACTAAGCTGCCTAGGAAACCCTACTTCTAACTGTACTCCTAGATTTCTAGCACTTGAAAAATCATGACTTTCCCATTGTGTTCCAAATATAATCAGCATTCCAATTCCTGGTGATCATGCTATGTTCCATATACATGGAAAGATCATTAGTCAAGCATACCGTGCTATCTTTTCCCTTTTTTTCCTTAATTGCCCCCAAATGAAAGTAGGTGTCTCACTGTGCCTATTTAGTTTAGTTGTGTATGTATGTATCTGTTTGCAGCTTTGATGTTGCCTTTCATTTCTTTAAAAAATTATTGTAATGCTTGTAGATAAGCTGAGAAAACAGAGATTATGTTGTTATCTCTAGTCAATTTCATTACAAGAGGGAATCAAATCAGTCACCTGCATAGCTTTGCTGGAAAAAAAAATATGCCATTTGGCTTTCTTAAACTATTTCATCATTCATCAATCAATCCAAGTGTCAGCAGTACAAGGCCAGAGAAGTGCAATTCCAAGTACATCCCAGTAAATACTTTAATTCATGGTTAGGGTTTGAGTTGTAAGTCATACCAATTTAATCTAGTAACAACTGTCTAGCATGATCAGTTTATAACTGGCTCTAAAGCAGACAACCAAACACATTGGTTTTATAATTTGGCTCAAAAACATACTGGCTAGTTTTTCCTTCCTTGTTAGTTGTGCTAAACATGATTAAAGATTGGATCGCCAGTGAGGAATATGAAATGACTTTAAAGTTGGAAATGCATACAGAATATTGAGGAAGGACATCTCTAATATGTCCTTCCTTACCAAACTGCATCTTTCCTTCCAACCAATGCCCATTATGCCTCAAATAGAGGTAGGTATACATTTTCATATAGGAAGCTATCAAAGAGATTGTATTGCTGTTCTTCTCTTTTCCTGAATGGATTAGGTGCAGCAAGAAAAAGATAGCAGAAGAATGAGAAAACCTGGGGTGAATGTAGATGGTTTCTGATGTTGTCTGGACCTTTTGTAGAATTGTGTGAAATGAATGACAATTGCACATTGTCTTAAAAGACATAAGAAACAAAATGTAAAATGGATTGATCGCAAGAGTCAATAAGCTCTAGGCTTGTGTACCAAAGAATAAGCAAGGGTTTGTTTTTTGAGGAAAACAGGATTGGATAAATTAAGAAAGACAGATCTATTTGGTGATTATAAATAGATGTCAGATCCAGCAGGGCAATTGCCTGCCTTCAATTTTGGAGCACTGAGGAATCACAATTGGAACCGCTCTCTGTTACCATTGTGCATGCTAACATGCTGGTGAATAAGTACCCCAAATATCAGTAATAGATGGGGCCACAGCCACACTTGGAACTGAGAATACATTATAGGGACTCTCACACAAAGGTTGCTATGACCAATCATAAAATAAGGATATACCAAAATATGAACAAATCCCTGGGCTGCACATATCCCAATAAACTATTTTCTAAGAAAATCTCTGGGGATAATACTAATAAGCAGCCTTACTTCTCAATAATTTTCTTTTAATTCAAAGAATGTAAACAAAACTAGGCTTAAGAAACTAGGAGTGCCCATGGGACATGTAGACGGGCATACAGTCACCCCATGCACCATACTGAGGACTCTAGAATTACAGAAAAATAAACTGTGATATTTTGCTGCACAAATTTAACAGAGATCAAATGACAATCTCCTGCTAAGCATGCTTTTATATACTGATGTCTGCCAAATTTATGCTTCATTTTGGGGCAGAATGTACCTAGAAAAGTATGTGGATCTAACAAAGTTATATGTCAAGAAGTATATCTATTTCACATGTCCTTGTCTTATTCAAGATAAAATATGCAGAGTCTGATGAAGTGTCCTTCCCCATGTGTTCAAAAATCCCCCTATATTTTCCTAGCAGTTGCTTTGGCCTTTTGCTTTCCAGATGGAATCCATTAAGGAGGAGAAGATGGACCGTCTGTCCTGTGCTTTTCATTAGTAGTACTAGGAGTCTTCTATCTGAAAGCAACCTGGATTTGGAAGTTCTCCTTTTTCTCATTTTAAAATAGATCTAGCAAACCAGGACATATGTGGACATATTTGGAGGTTCCAAATGCTTTTAACCAAAACTATGCTGCAATTCTTACTGGTCCTTTTACTTTACATGTTTTATGACATTTTATTTTGTATTCATTATAAGATTATTAAAAATGTAAGTAACCCTGAGGATGTGCCTGGCAAAGCAGACAACACTCATTAAAGAAACCAGTAGCCTTTTGGCTCTATGTTTATGGAACTATGACCTTGAGAGATAAAGCTATGATGAATTAGAACAGTGGTTCTCAACCTTTTTAATGCCGCGACCCCCAACCGGTCGTATGTCGAGGACTAAACCGGTCGTAAGTCGAGGACTAAACCGGTCGTAAGTCGAGGACTAAATCGGTCATAAGTCGAGGACTACCCAACCGGTCGTAAGTCGAGGACTTTCCCTGCCCGGGAGCGCCGCGCATGCGTGGTTCCGCCCCCTGCGCCAGCCGAGGCGTAGCTGGCAAGTGGCAGAGACGGAGCAGGCCGACCACCAGCTGGCCCAGCTCAAGGGAGGTAAGGCACTCGCCGGAAAAGGGGAAAAAATGGCGGACAGCCTTGCTTGGCGACCCTCATGAAATGGTCGATCGACCCCAAATGGGGTCACGACCCATAGGTTGAGAACCGCTGAATTAGAAGAATAGAAAGTTCGGTCACAACCTGGTGGATGAAAATATATTAATATTAAACAGCCTTATCTGGTGGAGTAATACATGAGCTCAGTGGATGAAAAAAGGTGTGGAGGGATGAACGGTATAACATAATTGTATAATGTAACTTCCAATTTAGGGGCTCTCATCTCTTAATTACAACAAATACTTCTAATACAAATGCATTCTGTACTTGCATAAACATCTTGCTTCTTTTATGATCGCCTTTCTGTTCCCCTCAAAGTAAACATTAGCAAGTTGATAAGTCAGGCATATGTCCACTCTCCAGCAATCCAAATGAGGTCCCCCTTCTCTCCCATACTCCATAACCCAATTAGAAAAGGCTCTTTAACTCTTCAAATATTGGCCATCACATCCCACCCACAAGAAACCAGGTAAGACACAGTACTTGGAGATTGTGGAGGTGTTGGTGTCTCTGCCACTAGTTTGTGAGGAGTCACTGGGCCATTAGGTCCTTCTGGGTAATCAGGGGTTAAAGCAGGCTGCTGTGGAAACTATTGAAGAAAAGAAAATAAAGCAAGAATTAGCATTTCCTTTACATAAATACTGTACCCCAAAGATGCTTTTTCACGAGGCAGCTGGACTTTCTTGTTTTTCTTTGAAGACATTTCGCTTCTCATCCAGGAAGCTTCTTCAGCTCTGACTGGATGGTGGAGAATGGAAAGATTTATACTCCTGAAGACAGCTTTCCATTCCCCACCATCCAGTCTGAGCTGAAGAAGCTTCTTGGATAAGAAGTGAAACGTCTTCAAAGAAAAACAAGAAAGTCCAGTTGCCTCTTGAAAAAGGATCTTTGGGATAACTATGACTTGGATGACTGAGAATCCCCATAGACATAAATACTGTTCTTTTTCTAAATTTGCTGCTTCTCTAAAAATTATTACCGTATCTACATTATTTCAGCAATCCTTATGAACTCTTCAGCAGAAGCAGCTATTTTCCCCATGCTGCAAAGGGGATGCTCTAAGGTGAATTCAGTGGTGGGATTCAGCCAGTTCGCACCACTTTGGCAGAAACGGTAGCTATTTTTTTGTTGCCCAGGCCCAGAATGGACTTCCGGAAGTGGCATCCAAACAGAGAACTGGTTGTTCACATATTTGAATCCCACCACTGGGTGAATTGTAGTTTCCTTAGTGGCACTCAGTGAGTTTGCTCTGAGATTTGAACTTAAGACTTCCTGTTTTACATCTCATTTACCTAGTCACTATGTCCCATTGGTTACACTTTCTATTTTTTTTCCTCTCCGCTATTGTTGTTTTTTTTTTCATTTTATTAATCTTCCATTCACTACCTCAGTCTTTTTCTTGCCCTCTTCTTCCTCATCCACATCCTCATCCACAAAAGCGAATGATTCATGCTTCCACTGGTGTCCATCATAAGATCCTTCAATCAGTTTCTGTGGCATCTCCCTGGCAAGATGCAGACGTCGCTCTGGGCTGAGGTATCTGTGCAGCAGAGCCTGGAGCTCCGCCCGCTCCACTGAGCCCATCAGAATCATGGAATCTAGATGGGGGGGGGGAAAGCAAATAAGAAAATCTAAGGTCTAAAATTCAGGGACTGTCACGATCAGAGAGTCGCTTGTCAGATAGTCAGCTTATGATGACCCTTTCACCTTTACGATGAACAGGAAATAATGCCTCTGGATTGCCTTACGATTTTAGATATGTTTTCTTCTAAGAACACAACTAGACTGTAAGCTCCAGCCATATATGAGGAAGGTAACTCCAGGAAATTTCCCTTTCACAATCACCTCATATCTCTCTTAAACCTGGCTAGTAACAGGCCAGGACTGTAGAGGAAAATAGAAAAATATCAAGGAAACTCAGAAAGTGAGTTTCATCATACACTATAGAGCAGCAGATTTCAGTGTGTTTGGAAGAGCTTGGAGAACTCTGGAAAGCTTATCTGTTTCCCATTGAGAAAGAATCTAACAGCAGGCAGCATTCCTTTCATATGAGATGACTCAGAGAAATGCATTAAATAAAATTTAATTTTAGAAATGGAGAAAGTGGGAGAGAGGAAATGTGACGGGAATCTATTTATATAAGAAAGGTAGCTAAAAATTAAGACACTCTGGGCATATCTACTTTCTGCTTTGTCCACACCATTTCTCTTCCGCCTACACATGTGTGTCCTTGAAACATTCAACAAATTCAGAATATACCTCCGAATCTAAACCAACTACTGAAGTTTCACTGTAGACAAGTAACAGACAAGGAGACACTGTTCCAGAGTCTGGCTGGAATCAAAGGGTTTCTTCAGTCATGATTAAGGTGTAAAAGAATGAGTGGAATCTAAGACTATATAAACATTTGATCTGCAGCTAACAAATGTCATCTCAACAAGGCTCTGGTTTTCTTACCTAAGGCAGTCTACAACCAGTTCTTTGGATTGCAAAAAAATACAGATGATCCGTTATTTCTCTCTATCCCTTTGCTGCCACCTACTTTATTATTTTTCTTGCACAGCTGCCCAACTCACAAGGACATAGGATAGCATACAAATTAAAAACAATAATAAAATCAGTGCATTTTCAAAACAAAACAGGAACCAAGGACATTCGTCAATGTGTTACCAAGGATCTGTATTTTGCAGTCCAGATATCTGTTATTTCCTCATTCAACTATCAAAGAAGCTTTCTGACCATGAAGCGGCCTCAATGTACCCCTTCCAAAAATACATTGCTCTTCCCCTCCTCCTTCTGCTCTTCCAACAGGGTGAGGTCTCCTCACACCATTGCAGCTGCTGCTGATTCTATTCAGTATTTGACACCAATCCCCTGTAGCTGCCTTCTCTCCCACACAAGACACTGGATCCTGGTGCAAGGTGGTTGGTGACCAAACATTACTGTCCAGCCATTTCTATGGCAATTGGCCCTCTCTGTTGCCAATTCTCAGTCCAATTTCTTCAAGCTACTTGACAGGAGGATTGCTAAGTTTATCTATGGTGACAGAATATCAGAAGGTGTCTGGTAGCCCTTTTTAAAACTAACAAGTTTTATTAAAGGATATAAGCTTTCTTGAGCTGTAGGTCACTTTATCCAATGAATTATTATTCATCAGACGCATTACTGTATGCTTTTAATTTTAAAAAAAACCCTGTTACTTGGAAAAAGGACTACCATATTTCTCCTGATTTTTTTCAGTACACATCTTCAGTCACAGATGACTATGGAAGCACTGTTCTCAGTAATGCCAAAACTATTGGTGCATCTCATGGACATCCTTGTTTGGGAGGAGAGGGGAGAGTGACACTGCATTGCTATCTTTAAATTAGTCTTTTCAGCAATACCAAGAATGTGCAAAAATGAATTATTTTCTAAGCTGCTTCACTCAGGAGATACATATTCATAAAATCAGTGTCTTCTAGGTTCTCAGACTTTTATGACTAGTTGGAAATTGCACTAATCTCTCAGGACATATTGACTGATTTCCCCAATAAGTAAACATTGCTAAGAAAAACTCTGTTTTCTCTGCCCCAGGTAAAAGGAAGAAAAAAACACACAGTTTAAATTATATTTTGAGAGAAACTGAAAATTAAGTTGAAACTAGAGTTTTAGCTTTGTCCTCTCTCCCTTCATACTACAGAATTATACTACAAGAATGTATCTGTGAATTCTTATTCCTGGCCTGTAAAAAGAAAGGTTAGGTCCAGTTTTATACAATAGCTATGAATTGGGAAGCTATAACATAAATTTGGAGATGATTCATAGTTTTGGATAGTTCTTTCTTGATTAAGCATACAAAGTTTACCAATTTGTCACCAGTGCTATAATCTCTCCACATTGATGCCACTCCCAAATCTCTACTGCTAAGATTCTAGAAAGATCGGGAAAAATTCCATGTTAATCCTTCTTTGCCCCCACCCTCCTTTCCCCCTTTTTTGGATCTGCCTCTCTATTAGGAGGAGGTAATCAGCACATTTTATTTTACCCTGTTTCTGCCCTAAATTACTTTTCAAAACAACACACGACTATTCAACAAATCCACTAACCAGCTGGATTTTTTTTTTCCAATGGAAGAGCAAGCTTTTGTTTGGACATTCCCACTTAGCTAGCAGCCATCATAAGTGCAGTCAAAACTCTTATCTAAAAAAATTAAATTAATACTTAAAAGAATTATAACCTTTACATTCCTCATTAAAACCAATCAAGCAGCTGATCAGAAAAGCTTGGAGTGGACAAAAGTAAATCCCTTTCCTGAAACTTTGTTGGCAGGACTGCTTTTAATTGAAAACAGGAACTGATGTGCTTCCTTACAAAGCTCACCTGGAGAATCCACCAGAGGAAACGTCTTCACGGTGGTGTTCTGGAGTAAGTCCTTCAGATCCCGATATTTGCAATTAGAGGAGATGAATTTGACGTCACACACCATAATGTCCTCAACAAAAATATTGTATTTGCTTGAGTGGGCATAAGTTAAAAATTAAGAAAGAATAAGTAAGGTGGGAGAAAGATTTATTTATTCATGTCATACTTTGTCCCAGAGCCCTTGCTGAAAGCTACTTCCTATCAAAAAGTTACCATAAAATCTTACTAATTCAAGTCTACAGCAGTGATAGCGAACCTTTTAGAGACTGCCCAAACTGCAACCCAAACTGCAACCCAAAACCCACTTATGCATCGTCGAGTGCCAGGTGGGTGTGGCCCATTGGGTGGGCGTGGCTGCAGTGGTAACGGCAGACTGGGTGGGACTAAAAAGTTCAATCAATCAATTCCAACTTTGCAAGATCTTTTTTTTTTCCCGCCCGAAGTTGAAATTGACTGATTGAAACTTTTTTTTTTTTGCACATGGTGGCGGAGGCCTAAAGTGAAAAGGTTTTATAAAACCCAGCTGAAGGCCTAGGACTGGGGTGATGGTGCGCGTGCCCACAGAGAGGGCTCTGAGTGCCGCCTCTGGCACCCGTGCCATAGGTTCGCCACCACTGGCCTACAGGATGTCGTTAAAAGACTGAAACAATTAACATAAAACATAAAACCCCACAGGCTTTTAGAAAAACTTGCTTTAATTGATCTAGTTTGCTTCCCCCCCTTGATATTTTTTATTTACTGGTCCTTGTATGCCATCCACTCAGGTTGTTTGAGTTGGACAATCATATAAATGCAAGAAATAAATGAACACACAAACAAAGGAACATAGGAACTAATCCCAACAACTACAAATGCCAGGGGGCAGCCATGTTGCAAAAGAGAGAATTCTTAGGGTTCAGAGAGGAAGAAGTAACATTTTCTGAAATTCTTTCCATTCAGGCCATTGGGGGGCTTGAAATTTCAGAACCATCATTCAGTTTAAATTATTTCCAGGAATTATAAAAGAACCAATGGTTCTTAATAGCCAGCCTTAATACACTTCTTGAGTGTTCACCCTATTAACAAGAAAGTTGACCTATTTTTAATGAATTGAGTTTTTGAGGAGTTATGAACTCATGCTATTTCCCAAACATAACTGAAATGTACTTTACTTAATCCATTTTTGGAAGTTTCTACAAGGCAAATATGTGATTAGCTGCTTTGTGGTTCAGGGTATCATGTAAAGAGCCAAACTTCAAATCATCCCCACATAAAGTCTTTACGGTAGCTATTGAGCTATAGTTTGCCATAACTGATACATCGGCTACAGATGATCTCAAAATAAATACATTCCAATCTATGGGCCATCTGCTTTGTTGCTTGGGATTGAATTTATCTCCATCTCCTTCTGAACATCTCACCACCTTTTAGCCTGCTCCCTCCCTTCTTGGTCAGCCCTAAGTACCTTATTTGGTTCCAGCCCAAGTCTGGTAAATAGGGCAGTTTCTTCACTTGGATGATGCTGTCATAAAGGCTTGGCTGCAAACTCTGAGCCACCATGTTGGCAAGAATGACGGCCACCATCATTGGCAGGATGTGGGCAATCTGACCGGTCAGCTCAAAGCAGATCACTGCTGTGGAGACAGTGTGGCTGACAGCACCTGTGAGAGCTGCAGCTCCTTTCCCAGTGGCAGAAAAGGACCAGGGAAAAAAGGGGGCAACATTAGCATCACTTGGATCACAACTGGAACCAGAGAAAAGAAGAAAGTCCTACACTTACCAATTACTGCATAACCACCAGGTAAAATTTTGTAAACAAAGCCATCAAAGAGAATCCCATCAGGAAAAATCCAGGCCATGATTTCACCAATCAAGCGTCCGAAAGCAGCTCCTAAACCCAACAAAGGTAATTTCTTAACTGTCTTTATCAGAATCATTAATACACACTCATGATCTAATAATATTTTAGGGCAACGAGTCACCACCCAGGGCAACGAGTCACCACCCAGGGCAACGAGTCACCACCCAGAGCTTAAGCAACACCCATTCTTGCCTCCTTTTATGCCAAAATAGGGAGAGTGGGCTTCGCTGCTATTTCTGAGGACTTAAGTAGCTTAAGTTTCAGCTTGCCAGAGGGCCAGATTTTCAGGCTTTCCAGTGGCAGTCCTCTATAAACTTGCCCAAGAAAGCATCTTGGAACAGAAGATGAACAGATGATCACTTGTGGGACTGCCCCAATCATTTGCAGGATATGAAGAACATAGGAAAGTGGTATGTAGGTAAAATAGGAATGGATTGAGGGAAAGAGAAATGAGTTCGGGACTTAGTCATTTCATAGAAACACAATTCCCCTTTTATTCATGATTCTACCAGCAATTCCCTCCATCACAATCTGTCTGGAAGTTTTCACAAAAAGATTAAAACTCACCCAGCACAAACACTGGCATGAAGCCTCCACAGGGTATTGGCATAGTTGTGGCAATGACAGACATCCAGAACTAGGACAGAGGTAATAAACAATCAAGGTTACTGTGCAATGCCTCTCCTTTTGTTAGAAATAGCTTGAGGGTTCCCTGGAAGATGAAGGTTTCAGCAGAATTCCTGTCTTCCACTCTGACTGGAACAAAGTAGCAGGATGTAACCAAGCATCCTCTCCAAGGAATCTTCTTCAACAGCTCCCTTTCTCATCTATTCTCTCTGGTCCTTTTCCCCACACAATGGGCTTCTCTAAAAAGGAACATTTTTCCTCCCTCTTAGGCTGTATAGGAGGAGCTATTTTGATGTAGAGCAGAAAGATCATATGGCTGTTAAATTACAGAGCAGTTGTCCAGACCAATCCATCTCTGTTGACTTGGCCAACTGCTGTCTTCCATTTAGCAATGTGTGTGTGTGTGTATTATGCATCAATTAGTTCAACATTTTTTAAAGAACTAGCATAAATACTTCTTTTGAAACTCCCCTTAGGTTAGGTAACATACTACTTGTGGCTCCCATGCCACAATTTGCTAAAAAAAAAAAACTTTTGTTCTAGAAGGGATGGAAAGAAGGCTTCAGATGCAGATGGCTTCTAAACTATGACCTGTCATGATACTAAAGTACTCCTTTTCCATAGTCAGAAATAAAATGTAGCATTTAGCATAGCTTTGTATTTTCCATAAGATTCAGCAATAAATGCAACACATGGCCAAATTCCCATAGTGCAGGGCTTTTCAACCGGTGGTATGTGTACCACATGTGGTACATTAGCACGTGGCAGGTGGTACATGGCCCTGCCCAGTGAAGTGTAGTGGGGGAGGGAACAAGCCAACGCAGGACTTACAGTGAGAGGGTCCTCCAGAGCTGCAGAGTGGCTGGGGTGAGGCAAAGGCCCCAGGCTCACTTCCGGCTCACCCGGAAGAGAAAGGAGGAGGGGGGGCGGAGACAGGAGAGGCTATAAAAGGAGGCAGTTTGGGCGAGAGAGGGAGAGAGAAAAAAGAGGCAGCCTTGGGAGGAGGCGGAGTCAGCTCTAGCTGCACCAAAGAGAAAGAAGGAGGAGGAGGGTGGGGGGAGAGGAGAGGAAATCAAGCAGGCTGGCCATAAGCCGATCTACAACTTCTGTGGCAGCCATCTGTGCTAGCAGCAACAAAGAGGCAAGAAACACAGCAGGGGAGGGGTCACCCTCCATGAGGAATGAAGAAAGGCAACAATGAAGAAAGGCAGCATTGGCTGGAGGTGAGGCACGGAGGGAGGGAGATGGAGAGTGGAAGGATTCTTATGTGCTTTTGTGACTTTGAAGTTCTGGGATTTGTGCAATGTGGGCTTTGTATTCTTAAGGAGTGTCTGACAATTTCTATTTAGCTGATGGCTGATGTCTCGTGTTATATTCTATTGCTCTGCTATTGTTAGCTGTAAGTTTTGCTGCAAGGGATTTTGAACTATTTTTCTCCCGAATGGATTTTGCCTGCAGATTCCTTTACTTATGAATGGAGCCATTTGGGGAGGCTGCCTTAGCTGGCAGCCAGTACTTGCTACATTTTTTTTTTCTTCCTTAAGTGCCGGCTGCTGGCTCCTTAACTTTCCTTTCCAGCCAGTAGCTAATTCTTAAAGGAGAATGCACCTTTTTAAGCTAGTTCCCTTAGCAGCTTGTCTTTTCTGTCTCTGGAGGCTTTTCCTTGTTTGATGAATATATGGAAGGGGAAAAATATGGGGGTGGGTTTTCAAATTCTTCCTTCAGAAGGAGATGGGAATGAGAAAGAGGGAGGCAGGGAAGGAGAGAGGGAGGGAAGGAAGTCCCATCTTAGCACTTGGCCACCAGCAGCCCTGCCATTAACTTTGCTTGTCAAAAGGTTGTAAAAGGGGATCACATGACCCTGGGACACTGTGACCATCATAAATATGAATCAGTTGCCAAGCATCCAAATATAAATCACATGACCCAGGCCATGCTGCAATGGTCATAAGTGAAAAATGGTCATAAGTCATTTCAGTGCAATTGCAACTTTGAACAGGGTTTTTTTTGGTCATCAAGTTTTTGACACCTTACTAGGTGGTACTCGAATACTGCCATATCTAAAAGTGGTACAATCAATGAAAAGGTTGAAAAGCCCTGCCATAGTGTACACTGAAGCAAATTCTATTCAGCTAAATCCCTTTTTGAAACAGATGAACATAAAAAATTAACTTTTATTATTTTTTTACACTGCACAAATTCACAAATTCATTCATTAGGAAGAAATAAAGAACAAAAGTCTCTTCCCAGTGGAGCAAGAACAAATGATAGTCTTTTAAGGATAAATTCAAGGAACAACCTATTTACACTTTAAATAAAGGAGCAAGGAACAAAGCAATTACTTTAAGGAATGTTTGTTGCAATATCATTTTGACTATTTACACTAGGAAATCTGGCATTAAAACTGTATTTTATGCAGTACTGCTTGCACAAACCTTATCTGAAAAAAGGTGGGGAGTCAAATAGCACCGAGATACAATGGTCAATGACATCAGTAAGTTTCTCTATAAAAATAAACCAGGAATTGAAGTTTTCACAGTTCTTTGATTCTGCTCATGGGAAATGGCTGATAATGTGGTGGTAACAATTCAGAGCTTGCCAGGTTAGCTACCTTACCTTCATGAGGAAAAACAACAAGATGATGACAAAGACGCTGACTTTGGGATGGATCCAAACTGCAGATCTCCCCAGAAGCTGTGGGTCCTCTGTGTGCTTTATCCAAGTGAAGTTATCAAAGAGGCTGCTGATGGCTTCTCTGGGCATCAGCTATAAGGAGAAAAGGCAATTACACTTGTCTCTCAGAGAAGACTCTTCCCTACCACAGTAAGGCAAATTTAGCAACAGACAATGACATTTTGATATGCATAAATTATGCAAATTTGTATTGCATATTTTCACTTCAAGCATGGCATCTCATTGTAGATGTGAAAAAATAATTGTTTTGGCTTTTTGTTATGAAACTGAAGAGCCTTAGGAAGTTGCATTCTGTGACAGAACCATGTTTTGTTGCCCTTCCAGGATCTCTTTATATAAAAAAAGACCTGATTACATTTGTTGGAGGCCACTTTTGGACAAACAGTCTTTCTGTCTTCCAAGCCTCCAGATCATACATTCAAAACAAAACCAGGCCTGAAAGGGCCATTTAGATAACTCTTGATCCTCAAGATAAAATCTTTGAGAATCTCTAGCCTGGCGGAGAACCAACACCAGAGAAGCACAGAAGTGATTTAATCAACTGGTGCTCAACTGCCAGCCAGCCAATGATGCTTTTCCCCATCTTTTTAGTGTTGTGCCAAAGTAAAACCCTTTCCCCTTTGTAAACATGCTATTTTGAAAAGGACCACTCCTCTTGAATCTGGTTTGGGGGATTTTAACAAGATATCAACATTCAGCTTTAAGACAAAACACTGGGAACTGGGAGGCAGGTGCCTTCTCTAACAGGCTCTAAAACTGCAGTGCACAAGAGATAAGCCAAATACTATTTCTTCTGCTATAATCACTCCCAGTTTGAAATCAGCCAGGTATTATATTACTGGAAAGGAGGTTTTCTCAATCCCTGATCATATTTGCCATACAATCCAACAGGTCTTTCAACAGTCCAGATGTAATTTCTATTATTTCAGAATCCAGGATATTACCATATTTTTCGGTATATAAGACGCACCCTTGTATAAGATGCTCTGGCATGCGAGCTTCTCTGCGTCAATCAGCTGTTCGGTGGAGCGACGAACAGCTGAGCTGGCAAATCCGGACGATTGACCGGCTGAAGCTCTTGCTCCCTCCCCTCTCCTGTTAGTGGCAAGCCCACAGGGGCTTGACACCTGCACCAGGTGGCATGGCAACCCACACAGGCATGCCCTGGGCTGTGGAGGTTACCATTATTTTTCCATGTATAAGATGCTGCACTTGTATAAAATGCACCTGATTTTTGAACAGGGTGTTTGCAGGAAAAAATAGCGTCTTATACACGGAAAAATATGGCATCTATATATTCTTTAACTGTTTTGAAGATGTCCTCTTTTTCCAGCATGCAGAGTACAACTGTTTAATAGAAAGAAGCTTGCATAAGCTTGCTGGGGGCAAAACTCTCTTTGGGTACTACTTGGTCTTTAGCAGAAGAGTTATGGATTTCCTGACAGCATAAAAATACTAGCTTTCATATATCATGCTAGCCTTAATGTGTTGAGTCTATGAAATGTTGTGTGAACCTAGCCATTTTAATGTATAAACCATGGTTAATAGCATAGCCCTTATTGAGTCCAGTTTGTTCTATTTGCAGTTCACTCAGTAAACCATGAAAACATGGCTTAGTAAGATATATAAACCTGGTCAGAATGAATTTAGATCTTATTTTTTCAGAGGCAGAATCTCCTGCCTGCCCTTATCCTATGCAACAAAAGAAGGGATTTATCATTGCTTTTCTTCTCAGCAGGCACACAAAATAGAAGGAAAAGCAAGAGTTTATGCACCAGTAGTGTGCTAGCACAAACAAAGAAGTGTTAGTGCTATTTGAAAAGTAAGTGCAAATGGAAAACACTGTATCCTACATTCTATGAAACAGACACGTGATGTGTATTTTTATGCACTCTGTTATTACAACTGTTAGTTTTATTGGGCTTTTATTAAATCTATTATTTATATTTGTACACTGTCCTAAAATCTCAGGCAATGAAGAACAACACCGCAAAGTTACATGATAAATAACTATTCAGATAAGTGGAACCCTCACTTCTCCAGCCATAAACTGTCCAAAGCCAGGAGGGAATGTCACAGATGCTATCACAAAAGTTATCACCCCAGGATACACAAGGCGGCTGAAAAAAGAAAAAAAAAGCAGGAATTAAATTCTCACAATGGTCTCTGAAAGATGCTGCAAATGCCATCTAGAAGGCAAGGACTCAGCCAGCGCTTTCAACACTGTTTCCTGAGAATGTGTTGAACTTTTTCCTCTTAGCTAGACATCGGTGTGAGTTAAATAAAAAAAAGCCACCTATCAGGATGTAAGATAAACACTAATCTCTTGGAAGAGTTTTTTGTTTAACCTGAACTAGAGCATAATTCAGCAGATTCTACCACTTGTCTATCCCTTGAACTTTTTTCTCTAAATCTAAATTTCCAGATCTGGACTGAAAAAATCAAACGATCATTAGACAGTAGTCAAGAGATAGAATGTTATCTATTTCTTTGCTGGCATCTGGAGGTCTCTAGTATATTTACAGCCCAGATTTGTTAACTCTACCTGATAGCAATTCTAGCTTTAATTTAACACTGCCCTACTTACTACAAGAGAAAAATAAATATTTCAATTGGCCATCTACCTTAACCTCTTAAATCACAATAAACCTTAAGACAATATATTTTTTAATTTCCTATGTTAAGAACATTTCCTGAATTATAGTTCCTCTAATTATTAAAAAAGGCATTAAAAATTTTAATGCTAGCCAAGTTAATTTACATCTTATAGAAAAGGAAACATGGTTTCAATCTTTCCTATAAAGATCTGAATGTAGGAAAAGTGCCATCTTTGCAGAGATGGCTGTTGACTTGTTATTTTATAGATAATTTGTCTAGCCTTGACACCAAATTATTAGGAATATGTCTATAGCTATAGCTATAGCTATCTAATCTGTGTGAGAGTGTATGTGTATATATAATATAACATAACACATATAACACATTTAATAAAGTTAAAATATAACAATTTAGCAGAGCATACTCACTATTTGGTTAGGAACCGACTTAGAGTAGCATGTTGTCTGACAAATAAAACCACTTGTCGATTGAAATAAACAAAAAACGCTCCAAGGAAACCAGAACAGATCCTATAATAGAAGATTTGGGAGGGGAAATTAATCCTAGGCTTTGAATTTACATAAGAGTGCTGTTAAAATTAGATTTAAAAAAATCTATAGCTAATCTCTCAACAACCAATCAGATTCTTCCAGAAAGGTTCAAGGATAAATAGCAAAATATATGCCATTTTGAATTCTGCACATTCATTTCTATTTAAGTTCAGCAGTATATCCAGAAGGCATAAGTAACCAGAGAGAAATAAACCTTATTGATTAAGATGATAAAAATATTGAAATGGTGCATAACTTTCCTGGGTTCAGGGCGACCATTTGAATGCTTAATTTATATGAGGTTTTTTTTTTAAAAAAAACTCTGCAAATAAAAAAAAAATGGCTGTATCATTACCAGAGGTTTCAGCCCATTTCCTGCATCCTGATTTACTGCAAGGCAAATATTCAGAAATGTTATCCATTTTCTGTAGTTTAAAATCATAAAACCTAGTCTACTACCTCAGAATTCAATCTCTAACAACATAATTCTAATCTGCTGTGATTTGTATACTGCAGAGATGGCCTTCCTCCTTTAAGTATATATCCCCATAGTTTGCTTTGCAGTAGTTAGATGTTCATATGATCATAAAATTGAGACAATGTCTCCCAATATAACCTCTAGTGTGGGGTTTCTTAAAGTGGAGTCCTAGGACACAGGTGTGTGTGTGTGTTTCTCCCAATACTCTACAAAATCAAAATTACTTATCAGCTTACGTTGAAAAATAATACAGTATTAAAATCCAAACAATCTATCAGGAGTAGCAATTGTGGCAGCGGATTTATTGAATTTAATTTTTAATAAAATGAATATCAATAAAATATAACCCATACAAACAAAAGCTCTTTAGCTGCCACAGGTCCAAAGGCAGTTGGAGGAATCACTACTTTTTGAGTTATTTCGCTTAAAGGTTCAGAACCTACAACTGCAACTCAGCATCAAAACTCTTGGGAAAGCCTGAAAAAGTTTGGGGTCCCAAAACCAAGACTAGAATATCAGCTGCAGCTCTTTCTTAAACGGAATATATGTAAACATGCCATTAGGGTTGCAAAGTAATTACTGAATGAATTCTGTCAGGAGTGAATTTCAAAGCTTGCTTTGATTAAAAAGATTTCTGGTACAGGATACAAACGAAGAATTGCAACAAAACAACCTTCTGCACCTGCGGTATTTCTCAACCCTGTATGTATGATAAACTGCACAACCAAAAATGTTAGATGATTACTGGAATTTTGCTCTCAGTCATGGAAGTTCACCATCTCTCAGCACAACTTAGCTCATAAGTCTCTAAAACTGAGGAAGGGACTGTTCATATAATTTGTAGAAAAGGCAGAATAGAAATCTAACAAATATCTAGTGTTCTCTTTTGTGTCTGATCATCCCAAAACAGAGTGTAATCTCTGTTTCTCCAAAACAAAAACAGAACAGTTCCTTGTCAGTCAACAGGAGTGCTGATTTACCACCACCTTATAAGATACTTAGGAGCCAAGGACTTGCAGCACAAGGAAATCAGCCATCAACATGCCTATCAACCAATCAACATGCCAATCATGCCAATAGAAAGCCACACCCAACCAATAGAAAGCCATACTCAACCAGATACCACATAAATACAATGCATCAAATAACCCAAAGGACACATTCTGGTAGAGAGAAGATCCCTAAAGATTGGCTCCAGCACAAGTCTAAAAGATCATCATCATCATCATCATCGGAAGGGACCTTGAAGGTCTTCTAGTCTGAACCCCTGCTCAAGCAGAAGACTCCACACCATTTCAGACAAATTGATGTCCAGTCTCTTCTGAAAAACCTCCAGTATTGGAGCACCACAACCCCTGAAGGCAAACAGTTCCACTGGTTTATTGTTCTCATTGTCAGGACATTTCTCCTTAGTTCTAGGTTGCTTCTCTCCTTGGTTAGTTTCCATTCATTGTTTCTTGTTTTGCCTTCTGGTGCTTTAAAAAATAAGCTGACCCCCTCTTTTTTGTGGCAGCCCCTCAAATAGTGGAACATTGCTGTCATGTCACCCCTAGTCCTTCTTTTTACTACACTAGTAAATTCCTGCAACCATTCTTCATATGTTTTAGCCTCCAGCCCCCCTAATTATTTTAATTGGTCTTCTTTGCACTCTTTCCAGAGTCTTAACATATTTTTTATATCAAGGTGACCAAAACTGGATGCAGTACAGTATTCTAAGTGTGGTCTTGCATGTGGACCAGAGGTTTAGACTGACCGACCCATATTGGATCCTGCAATATTATCCTGGAACACGTATATTTGCCTTCATTCATGAAAAACAAAACTATGTTCCTTCTCTCAACTGTGCTAATATCAGGCAGCTTCACTGGTATGTGAAGAGTTAGAATTGTATTGGGAAGAAGGCAATGACCAATCACCTCTATACTATTCCCAAGAAACTGCATGGACATTTCTATGAAATCCCCTTGAGAGATGAGTATGACTCAAAAGAGACCTTACCTTTTTCTAATATGGAACCTTCTAATTTAACTCTGTTTCATACCGAGAACTTTCAATAAGGCTTGCCTTTCTTCATTCCCACACCTGCCCGTACTGCAATTAGGTGTGCTCCAATGGGCTTACCCTATTACAGCAAATGCCGGCAGCTCCTGCAGGTCAAAGGGAAAATCCATGCGAAAGTTTGTTCTGAAGAGGGCTGTGATGGTGACTGGGAGGAGGGGGTGGAGAGAAGAGACAACCAGGGTGAGCAGATAAGAAAAAAAGAACATGAAGATAGGCTTTCGGTACCCAAACAATGAGAATACCCTAAGAAGACTCTTTATTACCATCATCTAAATTTTAAGAACTTCACTGTAAAAAAAAATCATAAGAGTGAAATTATTCAGCCTAAATACCACTTTGTTAAAAATGGTTCTGTTGTTATTAAAAACCTTTCTGCCTTGCACAGACCTCCTCTAATCACTATCCCCACAATTTTGTAGAAGTTGTGTGTAAAGCTAATTGTTGGAGGGAGCAATAGCCACATGAGAGGCTGGGAGGAGATGTGTCTTCTCATCTTACTTGCATCCTTGTTCCAGACAGCAAAGACTCGGAAAGCAAAGGCACTGAATGTGGCTGCAAAGAATCCACGCCAGTAGTTACGGACTGCAAAATAGGTGGAAGTGACTTCAATGCTAAAGAGGACACCTACAGAGTAGATAAAAATTCTCATCAGTACAAGACAGTTTATGCACACAAAATGCATCCAAATAATATTTTCCTCAGCCATCACTCCCCAAAACAGGCATTTGCAAAAGAGATTCAGTTACAAGAATAAATGGGCATGAAGGTGAAGTTTACTTTTAATTTATTTTTTATTTTGGAATAGATTTTTGTTTTGTTTCATTTTTAAAGTTGGAATTAAGGCCACATAGGAATAGGTATAAGGCAAGACTGAATTTCCATGAATCATCCTTTATGTTAATTCACTAGTTTCCCAACTTTTTACCATCGAGAGAATGTTTTCTATTGAAAAAACCCTTTGAGGTTGGATTATATATTAAGTTCACTTCACAAGAAATTCTGGATGGGACTACAGAATCTAACTGATTCCTTACATCAGGGGTCCCCAACCCCCAGTCCATGGACCGGTACTGGGCCGCAGCATGCCAGCAACCAGGCCGCACAAACAAGCAAATCCCCATCTGCGGGATGCAGGCAGCACACAAAACCACGTCCCCTCCGGTCTGCGGAACAAAATCTCTTCACAGAACTGGTCCCTGGTGCCCAAAGATTGGAGACCTCTGCCTTACATCAACTGAGGTTGATTTTAAAATTCGTTTTCTTACTGAAAAAAATCCAAAGATCTTCAGGGTTATCTGCAATGAATGTTGAAAGCCTGTGTTTTGGTGGAATAGAAGCTGCCCCCACCATTCCAATTTGACATCACTGTCTCCTATCCTAGTGACAAGGTGCTTCTGAAAACATTGCATTGACCTTGTCCACATGGTTATTAGTTAAGTATGTATTGGAGCAGCATGAGAAGATGCCATGAATGAATTCTAATCTTCATACTGTTAGGGTTCTAAAAAAATGGAGAGTTTTTTAACTGGATGGAAAATGATGACCAATAGGACCCTGGAAAGGAAAAGTGCTATCCACATAAAATAAATAATATTATTAATAATAAAGAACTTTATACATGGAGACTAAAGCATGATGCAAGAGAGAAGACGTGACACGTCTGGGAAAATTTAGACAAAAGCAAGCAGCCACTTGCCTCCAAGTGGTGTCCCGAAACAGCAGCCAACCCCCACTGCACATCCCACAGTCAGGACATCTGTGTAATAATATGGCTGCTACTAGTGGAAGAGATGAGACAGAGAGAGAGAGGGGAAAAAACAGGAAAGAAGAGGAGTGAGAGGATTGGAAGCTAATATGTCAAGACAATCAGCTGATGTTCTGTAGCACATCTTGGACCCATTTATATATTCTATATATGTCATTGTTTCTGTTTTATGTCATTCTGGCTCAGACAAATTCCAATACATTTGTGCAAGAAATTGGTGCATTGTATCTGAATGCACAACTCTTATAGAAACAAAATACGTTCAGCTTTTCAGGTCCAACATTTTTTAAAACATCAAAAAGGTTGCTGTATATCAACAGTTGGTTAAGAAGCGTATGGTGTGAATAGCTTCATACATCACAGAACTCCAGTTTGAAGGTATAGGAATTTGGAGGCGTTCTTCATGTCTGTGAATATCCATACCTGGAGAATGTGCTATAAAATGGAATTGCAGCATTCTCCCAATTACAGTAGTACGTGTGAAACAACATCAGTAATTTAGAATAAACCCCATTGTAGTATAGCCTTTGTACTACTTTGAATTGTTAAAAGTCCAAACACAATGAACAGAATATTGTGTATGGGAACTTGCATACATTAGCTTTCTTGTCTGATTGATGCTCTCATGAGGGAAGTACCACTTTAGGAACTATTAAAGATTATAATTACAATGGTAGGAACTATTCCATTTGGAATTCATGGATGTGCCATAAAGGCAATATATCTGGCTGAAACCCTTTCCTTAGATCAGGGGTAGGCAACCCTGGCTCTTTTATGACTCGTGGACTTCAACTCCCAGAATTCCTGAGCCAGCCAAGCTGGCTCAGGAATTCTAGGAATTGAAGTCCACGAATCATAAAAGAGCCAAGGTTGCCTACCCCTGCCTTAGATGGAGCTGAAATGGTTTGACTCAATTTGTATTTGTTGCCCAATTCCTATGATTTTCTGCCATGCACAGACAATAAAAAAATAAGAAGGAAGAAACAAAACAGCAACAAAGCCTCTCTTCAGAGAAGCACATAGTTCAAGAAGACAATTGCTGAAACCACCAAAATGTAGTCGGTAACCCAAGAGGTCATCACTATATGAGTAGGATTATTATCAGTACTGAATTCTATCTACTAAAGAGATCTCATTCAAATTCACACAGACACTTCAAATTCATGTTTGTAGTTCATGCCTTATTTTAACATTACCAAACACAGATTCTGTTTAATTTAGAGGATTCAGTGAGGAAAACAGCAACAAAGCCGGGTATTACTTTTATTAACTTAATCAACAAGTTCAACCTTAAAAAAAAACCTTACCATTCATCAACCAGGATAGGGGGGGAAAAATAAGGCTTTAAGATATACATAGGAGCCATGGTGGTGCAGTGGCTAGAATAAAGTATGGCAGGCTAACTCTGCCCACAGCCTCAAGTTTGATCCTGATGGGCTCGAGGTTGACTCAACCTTCCATCCTTCCAAGGTCGGTAAAATGAGGACCCAGATTGTTGAGGGCAAAATGCTGACTTTGTAAACCTCTCAGAGAGTGTTTTTAGAGCACTTTGGAGCAGTATGTAAGTCTAAGTGCTATTGCTATCCATTCAAGTATATATTTCCAAATTAAATCTGGAAAAGTTGCAAAAGTCAAATACCAACTTTCCAAATTATACCTATCTGTCACTTCAGAAAATAATGATCCACCATGGCAAGTATAACAATGAGGATGGGTGAGAATTGACATGGTCTCACTGAATATATTGAAAAGTTGCTTTTGATTCAAGTGGAAAAAAAAGAGGGAATCAAGCTGCTATCAGATTTACAGCTCTTGGCAACTTGATAAAGAATCTGCTATAATTAGCTTATGGATTCAATTGTGTTTCTTCAGTGTCTAATATCGGCTATTTGTTTATTTAAAAGCTTTCTAGGACTACTCATCTTTTGAACTCTAAATTTTGGCAGCTCACAGAAACATCTAAATAGACAAACAAACAAACAAACAAACAAACAAACAAATAATAAAACCAGCATTAAACAAACTTCCCATTTCCTCAAAAGAAACATTCCTACGTATGGCAACATTTAAATTTATTGGGTTCTTGGAAAATAGCTGCCAGACTGAAATCGCAGTCTGTTTATCTCCCATCTAATATTTAATCTTTGTAAAATGACTAAGATCCTTAATCTCATACCAAAAATCACTGTCTCCCTACTGCCTATAGATAAAATTATCTTTCTTGAACAACAACAAAATTGCTTAAGGTCTTTAACCCAAAGCATTATTTTACCATTGTTATGACTATACTTGTTATTTATAGACTAGCTGTAAAAACAAAGTGTTTTTAGCACCTGACTTGGCAGTTTTAAGGTAATGGTGGAAAGAAAAATAGCCTGCAGTATATATGTGTACATAGTAACGCATTTTAATTAAAGTCCCTATTTTCCTTAAAAAAACAAAAACAAATGGGGGAGATAATGGGGATAGTCCAGTGATGGCGAACCTTTTAGAGACTGAGTGCCCAAAAACCGCCCCCTGCCCCCACTCCGCCTTCCATCCTGCCTGCTCCGCCCCTGCCCGCCCCCTGCCCTGCCCGCTTGCAGGGCCACGCACCACCTCCATGGCCCACCACAGCAGATCGCCCAGGTAGCCTTGCAGTGCCATGGCAGCCATGCCCTCCGCCCACACCCCGCAGCATCATCTGCACGCTATGGAGTGCGAGCACGGAGTCTTGTCCCTGCTGGCTGGCTATGTCCTTGCCTGCACTGCTCCGTGTGTGCCGCACCCAGGGGTGACTCTCCTCCAGGGGGGCTGCTGGTGAGGAGGGGGCTGCTGGGGGAGGCGGGGCTGGGGCGATGGCATGCATGCCCACAGAGAGGGCTCTGAGTGCCGCCTCTGGCACGCGTGCCATAGGTTCGCCACCACTGGGATAGTCATTTTCTCTAGGTACTGCCTAAAACGTAGAAGAACATGACCTTGAAAACAGAAATATATGTAATTGCCATGGAAATAATTTCTTGATTGTCCATCCCATGCACCACCTCTACTTGTGGATTTCCACAGGATGCACATTCAGCTCTTTTTCATTTCCCTGCAAGGTTACATGAAATAAAATAGCGGCACCATTGTGCCTTAAAGAGTTCTTGTCTCTGTTACAAAGAAAACACATCTTTCCTTCCAGAAATGTCCTCAGCCTGGAGCATCAGCATGTTGTATGATCACAGGAATGCACTTGCCTCCAAGAGGGGCCCCGAAGCAACATCCAACGCCAACTGCGCAAGCGGCCACCAGGAAGTCCAGTTGCCTATGCATGTTCTGGAACAAAGAGCCCAGCCAGAGAGAGGCATGCCAGGGTTAGAGTGAGCACAGGCAAGAGTTAGTCCTTTCTTCTCCTGCTGCTCAATGCTAAGCATCTGCCAGCAGCAAAGCCAGCCTTTTTTTAGAGCCTTGTCAGTCGGCTTTAGTAGCAAGGGCAGCCAGGATCTACAAGAACTCAGTCTCTTCCTGCCTTGGTCCCATTTCCTGTATTCTCTTTGCATTAGTCTTATTTATTAATATTGAGATTGATTAGATGACTCCTAAAATAAATCATCTAAGGCTAGCGTTTGTTATCAGCCACTGGAAGAATACAGCATGGCCGAGTCATAAAGCTGTTGCTTTATTTTACTTCTGCAGCTAGGGTTAGAAGCAAGAAACTTCTAGAATCACAGCCTTCAAGACATAGCTGCTTACAACAGCCATAGCTATAAGCGCAGTTTGCATGTTAATTGTTCTCAATTAATCTGCTCTTAATACAAGAATGGGGAGGGGGAAGTCATTCTTATTTACATCTATTCAACCACTTCTGTTCCATAAGGGTAACGACTGAAGTAAAGACCCTCAGTCCCAAATTATGCTGGTCTTTTTACAACCAGCATATATGACAGAGATATAGCCAGTCTTGTTTATATTTGGCTCTTTTGCATATTTGTGTTTGCAAAAGTTTGGAATTATGTTTTTATCAGGAGAAAAGGCGCAATGATTTGATACTCCACAGGATAAGTAAAATTCAGTCTTAGAGTGAGGATAGGAAACTGTGCAGAATATTAAAAGCCCATCCCAGACTGCCAGTTTGCCTCTTCAAATTGTTCCCCTATAACTAATTCCAAACTTTTATTTACACAGAAATAAAGCCAAACATTGCTCCTGATTTTTTTTCAGTACAATTACAATTGCACTACATTATTCTTGAGTGATTCCTCCATGTTTTGCTGGACATAATTACAGTCGAGATACCTAATACTCCTCTCTCTGTCCTTTCCTGTGTTGTGCAGCTTCTTGTTCCTGAACTTACTGTTTCATTTTAATGTCCTCAGTTCTGCTGCCATCATCAATAGTCTATAATGCTCTCTCCCCCAGCAATCGCACTCTCAAACCAGATGGAGCATGCAGAACACTTACCTCATAAACCCCACAGAAGATAGACAAGAACTTGCTGAGAACAGCAGCACAGATGCTTGCAATGTGCACAAAAGGGCCCTGCAGGAGAGAGAGAGAGAGTGTGTGTGTATAAATAAATAACTGATAAGAACTAGGCTGAGTAGCAGCATCACAGTGCAGGCCAACAGCAAAGGATGTGCCTCCAGCCGGCCTCTGATCAATCTCCCCCTTCCTACATTGAACTGAAACTATTTCAGCATCTTCGCTCTTTTGTGCTATCCAGTCCACAGATCCAACTTCTGTCCATGATGGTCAGGTGTAGTGGGGAAGATGGAAAGCACCGGGAGCTGGATTTGGGAGTCCTTAATTAAAGGGAGGGATTGCACTTAGGTCCCCCAGGCCTCTGGGCAGGTGGGTGTAGCTTAGTTGCTTCTAATAAGTAAGCTCGTTTCTGCAGCTTCTGGTTGCATTCAGCTCACTAGGCCTCCTGTGTGTTTCTATTCCTTTTCTCCCTGACTGCTTCCCAGATTGCTCCTTTATTGAGGTGACCAATCGTCCTCCTTTAGGGAGGACAGTTCTTCTTTTGTAAGTTCTGTCCTCTCTCGAAAAGTGTCCTCCTACATGTCCTCCTTTTCGATATTTGAAGACTAATCTGTAAATCTCTGTATTCAATCGATGCCGATCCGATCCGTTGCGTGTGATATGACATATTTGTATTTGACATGACGATTCGTCAAGGCTCGGTACAGTGCAGTGAGACGCAATTATGAGACACATGCGCTCCGCACAGGAGAATTATTTTGAGAGAGTGTGCCGCGCACAAGTGGCTTTGTTTACTTCTTACCGAAACACAACACAGCACACACGCACACATTAGACTCACTTTTTTTTCTTCAATTTATTTGTGTCCTCCTTCTCATTGTAAAAAAGTTGGTCACCTTACCTTTATCAAGACAGGAAGCAGTATACCCATGTAGCTGCAATTCCTCCCTTCCCTTTGCTCTTTGAGCTGAGCCTATTTCTTGCTTGAAATAAACCAGTTAGTTGCACTCCTCTGCTTGTTTTGCCATAATGCAAATGTGGAATTGCAATCCAAGTACTGTTATCCAATTTATACTATCGTCCAATTCCTGAGATGCTGGTATCATCCAATGTTCCTGTGCTTTATGTCTTTGGTTTGACAATAGCTTTGGCTCAAAAGCTTTTTCTGGGGGAAAAACTAATGGAACCACCAGAAGCAAGAGTTGCAATGATCATCATCCATGTGCCTCTGCTGCTGATGTAAGGAGGAGCTTGTGCCTTTCTCTGTTAATTAGATGGAAGGGAATGACCTAAAGAAATGCTAGCGTCTGACACTGTCAGACTAATTAAAGATATTGTCTTACAGCCAGCAACAGAGAACTGGCTAGTTTAGTGCTCCAGTGGGGAAAATAGTTTAGTTCAGAAACATTCCCACTCATTTATTTCAGTGATACCAACAGAAGAGAATAGGTGTAGCTCAGGGTTGAACTATGGAGTCTTTCATTCTTTTTGATCTTGGTTGTTTGTTTGTAGATGTTTCATTACTAACTAATGCAAGTGAGAGTGGGTTTTACTGCCTGTTTAGGTGCAATAGCTTGCCCTGCCAGTTTGCTGGGGGTGTGCTTTTCTCCTTGGTTAGTGTATTGTTTTTTGCCTGATTGTTATCTGGTGTTAATCCCTGCTTCTCTGGGTGTTGGCAGCCGGAGAGGATGTCTTTTTATTTCCTTCTTGGCTTTTTTACTGTGTCTTTCAGATGCTCTGTTTTTTTTCTCTTTCATTTGATCTATTCTGAATTTAACTCTAGAATCCTTTAGTTCTTTGCCGCCTTTGTCTACAAGCTGATACCTGCCATCACTTACAGTA